ACTGAAATCAGATTGATTATATTCTTTGCATCCAAAGATGGAAAAGCTCTATACAGTCAGCAAAAACAAGACCCGTGGCTGACTGTGCCTCAGATCACAAACTCCTTACTACAAAATTCAGACTTAAATTGAAGAAGAAAGTAGGGAAGACCACTAGGCTATTCAGATATGACCTAAATCAAATCCGTTATGATTATACAGTGGAAGTAACAAATAGATTCAAAGGATTACATCTGATAGAGTGCCTGAAGAACTATGGATGGAGGTTTGTGATATTGTACAGGAGGTGGTGATCAAAACCATCCCTAAGAAAAAGAAATGCAAAAAGGTAAAATGGTTATCTGAGGAGGCCTTACAAATAGCTGAGAAAGAAGAGAAGCAAAAGGCAAAGGAGAAAAGGAAAGATATAACCATCTGAATGCAGAGTTCCAAAGAACACAAGGATAGATATGAAAGGCTTCCTAAGTGAACAATTCAAAGAAATAGAGGAAAAAATTAGAATGGGAAAGACTGGAGATCTCTTCAAGAAAATTAGAGACACCTAGGGAATATTTCATGCAAAGATGGGCACAATAAAAGACAGAAATGGTATGGACCTAACAAAAGCAGAAGATATTAAGAAGAGGTTGCAAGACTACACAGAACTATACAAAAAAGATATTCATGACCCAGATAACCATGATTGTGTGGTCACTCCTCTTGAGCCAGACATCTTGGAGAGTGAAGTCAAGTGGGCCTTAGGAAGCATCACTAGGAATGATGCTTGTGGAGGTGATAGAATTTCAGTTGAGCTATTTCAAGTCCTAAAAGATGATGCTGTGAAAGTGCTTCACTCAGTATGCCAGCAAATTTGGAAAAGTCAGCAGTGGCCACAGCATTGGAAAAGGTCAGTTTTCATTCCAGTGCCAAAGAAGGGTAATGCCAAAGAATGCTCAAACTACCGCACAATTGCACTCATTTCACATGCTTGCAAAGTAATGTTCAAAATTCTCCAAGCTAGGCTTCAACAGTACCTGAATCGAGAACTTCCAGATGTACAAGCTGGATTTAGAAAAGACAGAGGAACCAGAGATCAAATTGCCAACATCTATTGGATCATAAAAAATCAAGAGAATTTCAGAAAAACATCTACTTCTGCTTCATTGGATACTCTAAATCCTTTGTGTGGATCACAACAAACTATGAAAAATTCTTCAAGAAATGGGAATACCAGACCACTTTACCTGCCTCCTGCGTAACTTGTATGCAGGTCAAGAAGCAGCAGTTAGAACTGGACATGGAACAACAGACTGGTTCCAGATTGGGAAGGGAGTACGTCAAGACTATATTGTCACCCTGTTTATTTAATTTATATGCAGAGCACATCATGTGAAATGCAAGGCTGGATGAAGTACAAGCTGGAATCAAGATTCCCAGGAGAAATATCAATAACCCCAGATTACCTCAGATACCAAGATTGCCAGGAAAAATATCAATAACCTCAGATATGCAGATGCCACCACCCTTATAGCAGAAACCAAAGAGGATCTAAGGAGCCTCTTGATGAAGGTGAGTGAAATAGACAAGTGAAAAATCTGGCTTAAAATTCAACATTCACAAAACTAAGGTCATGGCATCTGGTCCCATCACTTCATGGCAAATAGATGGGGGAAACAATGGAAATAGTGACAGACTTTATCTTCTTGAGTTCCAAAATCACTGTAGATGGTGACTGCAGCCATGAAATTAAAAGATGCTTGCTCCTTGGGAGAAAAGCTATGACAAACCTAGACAGTGTATTAAAAAGCAGAGACATTACTCTGCCGACAAAGGTCCATATAGTCAATGCTATGGTTTTGCCAGTAGTCATGTTATGGATGTGAGAACTGGACCATAAAAAGGCTGAAGACTGAAGAATTGATGCTTTTGAACTGTGATGTTGGGGAAGACTCTTGGGAGTCTCTTGGACTGAAAGGAAATCCAAGCAGTCAATCCTAAAGGAAATCAACCCTGAATATTCATTGGAAGGGCTGATGCTGAAACAGTAGCTCCAATACTTTGGGCACCTGATGTGAAGAGCTGTTGGTTGGTTGGTTTAGTCGCTAAGTTGTGTCCAACCTTGCCACCTCATGGACTATAGCCTGCCAGGCTCTCTGCCCATGGGATTTTTCAGGCAAGAATACTGGAGTGGGTTGCCAGTTCCTTCTACAGGGATCATCCTGACCCAGGAATCAAACCTGGGTTTCCTGCACTGCAGGCAGATTCTTTACTGACTCAGCTATGAGTGAAGCCCTGTGAAGAGCTGACTCATTAGAAAAGACCCTGGTACTTGGAAAGATTGAAGACAGGAGGAGGAGGGAATGACAGAGGATGAGATGGTTGGATGGCATCACCGATTCAATGGAAATAAGTTTAAGCAAACTCCGGGAGATTGTGAAGGACAGGGAAGCCTGTGGTGCTGCAATCTATCGGGTCGCAGAGTCGGACATGACTGAGCAACTGAACAACAACAAATAGAGCTCCCATCCCCTCCAGTTTGGGTGTATGCCAGAAAACAGAAATAGTTCAGGCCATGTTCTCTGATCATGGTGCAGTAAGATTAGAAATTAACAACCAAAGAAGAGATAAAATAATCTTTAATAATTGAAGATAATTTTTTGAAGAGAGGAATAGAATTTGGTGGGTATGGGGGAGAAAAATGGAGTTTTCATTTTTCATAAAATTTATACCTCTCTACTGAGACTTGTGTAATATTGCCTGTGTAACTAAAAAATAATAATCTATAAAAGAAAAAGCAATTAGCAAGTTTTTCCTTCACTGAATGAATCGAACCTCAAATGTTCTGTTTATCTTCTGTCTGCATAAAATTCCTATGAATATCATGGAAGTAGGCAATTTGACGCAATGAGAAACTCAGGTTTTAACAAAGCAAGTTAGAATACTGAGCAGCTAAATTGCATTATTTCCTCCTTTTGGGGGGCTTACCAGATAAATCTCCCTTCCCTCTAGATGCCTATTTTATAGAAATACATAAATAAGAATCTCCATTTGTTTGTGCAAACAAGTCAGAACCTTGCTAGAAGGATAGAATGCTATAATTGAAAATGTTCTTATTTAAAATGTAATCCTCTTTAATATTGTGAGCAGAAATCACTTTTAAAGACCTTTTGTTTGCCAAGGACAAATTCTAGCTGCTGATTGAGGCAGTAGTGTTCACTGTGTGCCTCATTCTCTGAGGGGTAAATACAAGGAAATGATGATTTTTATTATAAGGTACAAAGGCCTTTCATTCCTTGGAGGGAACAAGACATTTCTGCATTTGGTAAAGTTTGCCATCCCTTATTTTGACTAAAAAAATCTTTAAAAAATAAATACCTTAAGTATTAAAGAACATAAATAGTGTTTTTCTTTAACAGAATATACAAAATAATGAAAGCCATATTTTTAAATTTAAAATGAAATCACATGATTTGCATCACAGAACCATGGCTTTTTTCTCCAAAATGATTAAGAAATCCCAGAGAGAGTGACATTAATTTTAGAAGGAATATGTTTGCTGCATATGTGTTAGTTCAGCTATCAGAATTTTCAATTAAACTAAATTTAGTAAAAGTCATTTCTGTACAACCAAGTAATTTTTATATGTTTGGCACAATGTAAGATAAAGGGAAAAGGTCTCCCTGTATATGGCACTTAAAGTTGACTTCATTATATTTGTTTCAACACTTGGGTGGTATAAAAATTAATCATGTGAACACCAAGCCGAAAATATGACTCATAGCCTCTGCTAACAGTTGCCTTAAACAATTTTGCCTTCCCCTTTGAGTGTTAAATGGATTTTGAAAAGTGGATTTTGGTGGAAGTTTGGGATACTTTCAATTACATTCTTGGACTTCTTTTTTTTGGCTGCACTGGGTCTTTGTTGCTGGTCTCAGGCTTACTCTAGTTGTGATGAGTGGGGGCCACTCTTTCTTGCAGTGTACGGGTGCCTCATTGCGGTGGCTTCTCTTATTTCAGAGCATAGGCTCTAGGCATGCAGGCTCAGTAATTTAGGCATGCAGGCTTAGTTTCCCCGAGGCATGTGGGATCTTAGTTCCCTGCCCAGGGATCAAACCTGTGTCCCCAGCATTGCAAGGCAGATTCTTAACCACTGGGCCACCAGGGAAGTCCTGGGTTTCTTTATTACCTGAAAAGTTCTTGCTGATAATCTGGTCAGAACACATTGTGTATTCTGGAGAAGTTCTGTTTGTACTGATGACTTCCTTTTGAGCTTCAGACTACATTCCTCTGTTGACATACCCATTTTTAGTGACAAAGGATTCTTTTAGAGGACTAGTAGAAGGAATCCTGTGATATTATGATTTGTAAAAAGTAATACGTATTTGGTATTTGATCTCATTGCTAGCATTTACCTCCTTGAATTTCCCAAGTGATGAGAGAGAACTTATGTTACTGAGGTAACTTTTGGAATGCCCCTAATTCTCTTAAGGATTGAGGCTAGTTGCCAGGGGAACTGACCAAGTGATTAGAGGGTCCAAACTTTCCATTCCTACCCCCACTCCCCAACCTCTGGAGAGGGGAGAGGCAGGGTTCTGAGAGCAGTGGTGAGGGGCTGGAGTGGTGAGCTGGTGGAGACATGGGCAGGGTGACACACCTGGAGAGGGTAGGGAAGGAAGCTCCACACCCCTACCCAACAGAACTTGGTTTGTGCATCTCTTCCATCTGACTGCTTTTGAGTTATATCCTTTCGTAATGAACTGATAATCTAACGAGAAAAAAAGTTTCTCTGAGTTCTGTGAGCCTCTTTAGCCAATTAGCCAAATCCAAGGAGAGAGTCATTTGAAACTCCTGATCTGTGTATAGCCCGTTGGTCAGCGACACAGATGGCAATATATTCCACATCCATTTGTACGTAGTACTGAAACAGCACAAATACAGCCGCTCTTAGCACCCAGGGGTTCCTCACTGATCGCTATTACTCTTCACCCTGTTACCAGGCAACGGGTCCAACTCAGTCATTGGTCGGTGCCTCAGCAGGCCCCGCCCACAAGCAACCAACTGTCAAGGAGCAACCGTTAGTGGGCGGATTCAATCAACTGTTGGACTGTCTGTCCCTCGTCAAGTGGAGAGTGAGGTAAGAAGCGAATCCCGGCCTTCGCCCCTGGTTCCTCCAGCTTACCGGCTTTCAGGCCAGTAGGTGAGCTGGGGGCCCCAGGAAACAGACTGGACGCTGTGTCCTGTAGCGCTCCGGAGCCCTCACCCACTGGCTGGGCCCAGGGCTTGAGGTGGCGGTGAACCTCTCCTCCATCTCCGCTTCGTGACTGATTAACAGCAGCTGAATGCCTGGGTCACAGTCTGTGGGACCTACCACCCCTCCCCTATTGGGCAGCTTGAAGAGCCTGAGGGTCGGTTGAGTCCTGAGCGCTTTGCTCCCTCAGTGATGACAGCTGGGCAGGGTCTGGGGACCTGGCCCTGAGGGAGCCGCCAACTGAGATCTGCTTCCTCTTAGCCGGGCCCTGGGCCTCAGAGGGTGAAAGTTTTGTCTTGAGACCCTGCCCTTTCTTGTCAGAACAGGGAATAACATTTGTTTGGTAGAGATTTACAGGAACATCATTACCTGACCATGACCTGACCTCCAGAACAAAGGATCTGACATCAAGAAGTTTGTAACAGCTAACTACACCCCTCCCTCACCTTTGCTGGAAAAAGGGCTTTGCTGAAAGCTTTCAGGGAGCGTGGAAGCTTTCAAGCATGAGCCATCCATCTCCTGGCATGTGTGTGCTCAGTCTCTCAGTGTGTCCGACCGTTTGCGACCCCATGGACTGTAGCCCTCCCGGCTCCTCTGTGCATGGGATTTCCCAGGCTAGAATACTGGAGTGAGTTGCCATTTCCTCCTCCAGGGAATCTTCCCAGTCTAAGGATCGAACCCACGTCTCTTGTGTCTCCTGCATTGACAGGTGGATTCTTTACCATTGAGCCACCAGGGAAACCCATCTCCTTGCAGGGCCCTTTAATAAACCTTCTTCTGCTCCAAATTCTGATGTTTTGGTATAGTTTGATCTCTCTGTGGGTCGGGCACAGGGACTTGAGTTTCAGTAACAAGACTAGTGTAAATATTGTACCCTTAGATTAGTTTTGCACTCCTGAAAATTTACCCTTGAAACCTAAGATAATTTCTAATTCCTTTTTTGAATTATATTCTTTTTATCATTCGTTTGTGCTGCATAATTCAATTCCCACCTCACCCCCTTCCCATCTCATTACAGTTGTTCCATCGATACTTTCCTGTCTTCCCGTTCCACCCTTCTCTCCCTTGGCCTCATCTTTGTCTCTTTATTTGATTCATATGGTGAAGCTGGAGTTTTAAAGTGAAGGTTATTGCATCTTATGTCCCTTATCTGCTCTCCTGGGGCTTGTTTGGAAATTACCTTCCCACACATTCTCAATGTAACATGTGACTGTTGCTAGTACAAATCCACAGCTTTAGTGAAATGTGAAGGGTAATTTGAGGGGCCAGCTGCTCTTATGATCATGAATGACCAACTGGAAGGTAACACTTGTAGTCAGGACCTAAACAGTCTCCAGAGGCTTGGGTTCCATTTAAAAGAGAACATCTTCATCTTTCCCAGCTGTCCCAGCCCTTGGCAATTCCAGACTCATGGGGTTTCTTTCAAGAAGCACCTGTTTGCATTGTAGTCTGAATTTGTAGCAAATTATTTCTACACAGTTGGAAATAACATCAAATTGGCTCTTTTACCAGGCACGCTGGACGGGCGCATTTGGGTTTTGTAGATGTTTGTGTGTTCTTGTAGTGTGAAAATGCCTTTATTTAAAACAAATACATTTTCCAGCTCATTATCCCACAGTGTGAAGCCCAATTCTGTTAAAAATAATTACAATGGCTGAATTATTTTGCTGAGAAAAACAGGTATCCACATGCCACTACAAATTTGAACTTTTGTTTCCAACAGACTTTTGATGCATCATCCCAGGATATTGTGGATTGAAAGTTTAAAGAATATTTCTCTGAAGTTATTGTCATAAATATTTTCACTGAATTAATGATGAAAAATCCTTACTGATACTCACATTAGGTATATTTCACATCTCTCTTAGACTAAATCAGAGGGGAATGAATTTATTTTACTCTTTTTTTAATTTTTGAAAAGATTGAAAATGAGAACCTATTATATAGCTCAGGAAACTCAATGATCTGTGGTGACCTAAATGGGAAGGAAATCCAAAAAAAGAGGAAATACATGTATATGTATAGCTGATTCCATTTGCGATATGGCAGAAAATAATACAACATTGTAAAACAATCATCAGTTCAGTCGCTCAGTTGTGTCCAACTCTTTGCAACTACATGAACTGCAGCAGGCCAGGCCTCCCTGTCCATCACCAACTCTTGGAGTCTCCCCAAACCCATGTCCATTGAGTCAGTGATGCCATCCAACCATCTCATCCTCTGTTGTTCCCTTCTCGTCCTGTTTTCAATCTTTCCTAGCATCAGGGTCTTTTCCAGTGAGTCAGTTCTTCACATCAGGTGGCCAAAGTATTGCAGTTTCAGCTTCAGCATCAGTCCTTCCAATGAATATTCAGGACTGATCTCCTTTAGGATGGACTGGTTGGATCTCCTTGCAGTCCAAGGGACTCTCAAGAGTCTTCTCCAACACCACAGTTCAAAAGCATCAATTCTTCGGTGCTCAGCTTTCTTTATAGTCCAAGTCTCACATCCATACATGACCACTGGAAAAACCATAGCCTTGACTAGACGGACCTTTGTTGGCAAAGTAATGTCTTTGTTGGCAAAGCAATTATAGTCCAATAAAAATTAATAGAAAGAAATAAGGAAAAACTGTTGAAAGTTATTGGATACTGTAGTCTTGTTTGGAGGAAAATGAAAGGTTCATCTTATGATTTGCTATATATAAAAAAATCAGATTTGTTTTGGTAAAATAGCAGTTTAAATATGAATACAGTAGGACTTAAAAGATGCAAAAATTTCAATTATCACACAAAATCTGACACCTTCAAGTCCATAACTTCTGCCTTGAACTTCAAATGAACATTTAGTATGGGATGGAAACTTCAATTTTACAAATGTTTTTACACACATATTTCCCATTACATCAATAAAGTTGTTTAAAAATTAGTTTTACTTTATCAGTAAGAACAAAACTGGATTTAGGTCTTCTAACACCTAGTTTAGTGCTCAGTCCACTTTTCTACTATCTAATACTGCAGCAAGAGTGTGTCATTACTATGTAATTATATAACCTTAAGAATTTGTAATTTATTTTAAATTTCATCCTAAAAAACTGAGTTACTTAATACTCTTAACATGCATATTCATACGTAATGCAAGTATAAAGTATACTTTTCTCTTTAAACAGATATACTTCAGTAGCATGTGTGAGAAAAGTAATTTTCTTCCAAGCAATTGATACTTCATACATTTTTTTTGATGCTGTGCTGTGCTCAATTGTGTCTGACTCTCTGCGACTCTAGCCTGCCAGCTCCTCTGTCCATGGAATTTTCCCAGCAAGAATACTGGAGTGGGTTACCATTTCCTTCTCTAAAATGCTGTATTGTATATCCTCCTTTTAGTGATTCACACTGCAGTTTAACATACTAAAAGTTCTAAGAATGTTGGCAATAAATACCTTTATTAATTAATAAAGTAACTTTAACCGAAGTTTCTCAAACTTACATGATCACGGCACCCATTTTATGGGCAACATTTATTAACATCCTGGAATTCCACAGAAAGAATGCTATTTTTTTTTTAAGAGCTTTGCAAAGAAGATTTTCAGAATTATCTCCTGAGGTACAGGTTTGGTTGATAAGAATTATTGTATGCACTGATGTTGCCAATAGTGCTCTAAAATCTTAGAAGATATGTGAAGACCTATGAGATAAGAAGGATGTAGTAGTGATTATAAGAAATATGTAAGTGAGTCTCAAATTTGGTTTAGGTTTTTCTGGCAGAGTTGTCATTCTAATTTCTTTTCAGATTATTACAATTTGTTCTTGAGATAGAAGTTCATGTTTATAGAAACTATTATACACATGTGACATTGCTGGAAAGTAAGGGACTGGTTGGATATTAGTGGGAGTTCAATTTTAGGGAAAAATAGTTCTAAAATTTATAATTTAAAACTATTATATTTAATATATGTGTGTGTGTGTGTGTATATATATATATATATATATATATATATAAAAGTTCAAAATAGTAATGTTTGAGTTTCTCCCCCTCTACTTCTCTCTGTGCTCTCATGCTCTTTTGCATATTTTAAGAGCAATTCTAAATCATCTCCAGTGTGACCATCTATGTTAGGTGCCACTGGGGAATAAGAAGAAATAAAAGGCATGATCTCTGCCCTTGAGTAGCTGATTAGAAGAGACTGCACATTGGATTTTTCCACTGACTGGTTAGCTTAGCTACACAGAACAAAGAGGGAAGGTGCATTCTGAGTGGGAGTTTCAGCTGAACAAACAACAGAAGCAGAATGAAACTCAGTCTTGTCCTGTAGTCAGCTAGCACCAGGATGCAGAAATAACTCGGGCTGCCTTAAGTCAAGTGGTTACCAGATCTTAGCTGGATGGCTGCTCACCCAGAGGAACATCACCTCTGTCAGCTGGATCCTTTTCGTTGTTTTTATATGGATATACTGAATCTTCATCCCAGGTTAGAAACATTTTTCGAACAAGAGTTTTGTTGAGGTCTGTGAGGATACAATTATTTATGAAGCTGGATTGACATAGGGAAAATGTCTGCAGGACATTTGAAGCCTGTTCTTCTGATGGATGTGATGGCAGCTTTATGAAGGATGATCAAGAGGAGCATGTTCTCCTGTGGTCATGGCTATGTTCATGAAAACTCTTTTTCAAATAATATTTGTGGGATCCAAAAGGGGTTCTTACTTCCATCCAGTGAAGGAAGGAGAATATATTAGGCCATGGCTTGAAACCTAGATTCTAGGTTTCTACTGGAAAGTTGATGACGTTTTCCCCGCCTTGGAAAGGAAATGAAGAAGCAGCAGATGTTCCACTTTTCTAAATAAATGAGAAAGTCCTTTTATTCTCTTTTGGGAAATTTAGCTGATTTGAGAAAAGGTAGAATGGGAA